CACACCCAAAAAAAAAAAAAAAAAAAAAAAAAAAAACAAAAAAAAACAAACTGAAGAGGGGGGGGGGGGGAATGTCCGAAAGAAACACTGAGAGTGAGTTAGAGGGGTTTCCTTTTAATCTTTAATTTTTGTTATTATTCATCATTTTTTTCAAATATATACATTTATTATAATAATCTTTGTATAAATAATTATTCAATAAAAATTGCATATATTTTAAAAAGTTATAGTTATGTGTAAAGTGTTATGTCAGTTCAGACTCAATGTCTCAGATAGTTTACTTGAAGGTCATGGTCTGTCAATGTCAAGGCCATTTACTATTTTTTCGGGTTTTTAAGAAAATCTATCTGTAAATTACTTGAATATTTATTTATTGCTTTAATAAAAAATGTTTAATGTATTTAAAGTCACGAGTGAATTTTATCCAAATTATTGGTACTATTTCAACAATGTTTACATTTTATATAAAGTGTACATTTTGTAATACGCATGCGCATTAAGGAACTTCCTAAGTCTAATAGTGAAAGTAAATGGCGTCAATGGCAAGCGTATCAGCTAAAGTCGCCCGGAAAGCGGCTTTTAGTACTGTTGTAAGTTAAATTGTTCATAAGACAATTAAATGCTGTTAAATAAAAAAATATGTTTCACAAATATCTATTTTGATTAAAAGCATGAACTTTTAAATTATAACGCAATACTTCGCTCACGATACAGCTAGTCAAGATAAAAATTTAATTAAAAATAGAATTTTTTTTAAATTTTGGCCTTGCAAATAAAAATGTTTCTTGAGGTGTCATCTGCCAGCTATAAATTAAGTAAAACTTTAGATACTTAAAAGTAAAATATAACCCACGATTTCTGAAAGAAAATGAATATATTTTAGTTTGGCTACTAACTTAGGAACACATATTGAAATGGTAACAAGTTAAGTAATAGGTTGACCTTGTTGCCTTGTTCAACGTTATACAATCATCCTATTATGTTTTCAATTGAGGTCAATTTTTTTTTTCTTAATTTTACCTTACTATTTGTTGACTCTTTGCCTTTTATAAATAATTTTGAATCAAGACACTTTCAAATTTTCCACCAAACACAACAAAGGTATTGTTTAATTTTTTTTCTATAGGTTTTATTGAGATATGACCATTAAAAATAAAAAAAATTCAAGAATGATAATAATGATTATGATAATAATAATAATGAGTAAATTAAAAAATAAGGCAACTATTCCATTAATTAGGATTACACCTAATAAATTTAAATAAAACTATATGAATATGAGCTATTTAGTTTTATGGCTTTTTACATTTATTAATAATCTAATAATGTTTTGTTTTCTGCCTCACGACTTTTAATTTATTAACACAATACAAAAGCTTCTAAAAATTCTCTTTGACTGCCTAGAGTCTGGGCCTGGGTGCTATGCCTTTCCATTTGACAAGATTTGAAATAAAAATATTTTTAGGCCTAAGATTTAGACTAACCGTCCAAAGTAAGATGTAAAAATATGAAAAGAATAAATTAAATAAGGACCCAAAGTCTATTTGCAATTAACATTTTGATAAGTTTTTTTTTTTTTTTAATCTTGTTATTGTAACAAACAATATTTTTATTTAAAAATAACTTAATTTACTCAGCTTGGTCAGATTGGGAAACCATTTGCAGCCTCCAGAGATTTTCATTTTCGTGTCAATGGAAGAAATACTGATGCAAAAGTCTCATCTTCAAATGTAAGTATCATAATTAATAATTACAAGAAATATCTTGGGCTTCGAGACTTCCTGTAAAATATTTTTAAAATTGTATCAGTGGAAATGAAATTTTCTGTCACATAATTAAACTTTTTTTTATAGATAAGTTAGTGTCAAAAGTTATTAGGTTGTGTCTCCGGTAAAATTTTTGAAAAAGTGACTTACATGTTTAGAGAGTTTATGTAAAAATTTTATTAAATTATTTATAAAACCTTAACTTTTATGTGCTTTTTAAGGTGTCATAATTGTTTTACATATCTACTAACCATTTTTAGGGCTCTTCAAACATGCACTCATTTTGTTTTGCCCCCTTCCAGATTTCTAGAGATTACCCTGTAGTTGATCATCAGTATGATGCTGTGGTTGTTGGTGCTGGAGGAGCTGGGCTCCGAGCAGCATTTGGTCTGGCCAATGAGGGCTTCAAAACTGCCTGTATAACTAAGTTATTTCCTACCCGATCACACACTGTAGCAGCCCAGGTCTGTTGATTTATGTTATCTTAATTTCTTGAATATATGGACAGTAAATATCTCAGGTTTGTTTCTGAATTTTATCTTCGCACACCCTGCAATAAAATAAAAATATTTTAAAATCATTTGTGGAGAAAAAAAATTAATCAGGTTCCTTGGTCAAATAGAGGTAGAAAATGTTAATAGTTTTATAGAATTTTTGCTGGAAATTTACAAAGTGTACAAAGCATGTTGGTAGCAGAAATATGCTTGAGAAGCAAATTTATAGAACCTTTATATATTTTAGTCAAAAGGCCTGTGCCGTAAGGATTTTTTTAAAGATAACATTTTTGTGCTACTTTCTGTCATTAAAATGATTTAAAAAATGATTTAATCATACTCTTGAGCTTTTTAAGATTAAAGCGCAGTTGTTTTGTGGGAAGTTATTAAGTTTTTATGCTTAATATTTACTGGTAAATTTTCATTGTGATGATATATCTGTTTTTACAAATATTTTCTTAAGGGTGGTATTAATGCTGCCATGGGCAACATGGAAGAAGACCACTGGCAGTACCACTTCTATGATACAGTGAAAGGATCTGATTGGCTGGGAGACCAGGACGCCATCCACTACATGTGTGAGGAGGCACCTAAAGCCGTGATTGAGGTAGAAATTAAAAAAAAAACAATAATTTAATTAAGAATCTTCTAAAAAAAGATTTTTCGAACATTTCTATAAACCATGCAGAGGTTTATGGTTTTTAACCAAAATAACTTTAGACAACTAACATTCTGTGATTTTCTTTTAGCTGGAAAACTATGGTATGCCATTTAGCCGACTTGAGAATGGAAAAATCTACCAGCGTGCTTTTGGTGGGCAGAGTTTGAAGTTTGGCAAAGGTGGCCAGGCTCACAGGTGTTGTGCTGTGGCTGATAGGACAGGGCACAGTTTGTTGCATACACTGTATGGCAGGGTGAGTGGATCAGTCCCTATTCAATAATTAAGCATGAAAAGGGTTGATAGAATTATGTTATTAATATTTGGGATAACACATGCTTCAATAAAGTAATGGATTTTTTTTAAAATTTTTACACACACGTTTTCTTTCTACACCCCAATATTTCTTGATGCAAAGTGATTTACCTGTATTTGAAAAGTTGTTCAAAATTGTTTCTCATGTTTTCCAGTCCCTCAAGTATGACACCAACTACTTTGTTGAGTACTTTGCCCTTGATCTGATCATGGAGGAAGGGGAATGCAGAGGTGTGATTGCTCTCTGTCTTGAAGATGGCTCCATCCACAGATTCCACAGCAAGAACACTGTCATTGCCACTGGGTTGGTTCTTGTTCACACAATTTTTGGGATGATAGTTGCTTTTTTTTTTTTTGCACACTATTTGTTAGCATTGAGATTTTACAATAGCTTTGAGTAGCATCATTATAATCATATTCTGGTGAATTGATAAAACGTCATGAGAGATTAAACCTTTCTTCAGATGCTTGTATTATATCCAAGTATAGTACAAAAGATTCTAATTGTTAGTAAAATAATTAATTTGAGTCTATTTTGAACTATATATAAATATAAAAAATAGTAAATGCTAAGAAAAAACCTTTGTTTTAAAAAACTTCAAATGTTTGCTTCAGTGGCTATGGACGCACTTTTTTTTCGTGCACCTCTGCTCACACTTGCACTGGAGATGGCACAGCTATGATCAACAGGGCAGGGCTGGCTAATGAAGATATGGAATTTGTACAGTTCCACCCAACAGGTGAGCTAACAGTAATTGATCAACTCTGTTTGAAAGTTTTGCTCTGGTTTAAAAAGTAACTTTGGTGATGTCTAGGGCAACTGGTGCACATTTTATCAAACATGGGAGTATTTTATAACTATGTAAAAAGTTTCTTGAAATTGATTGAAATATTATATTTTAATTAAAAAAAGGAAAGTAGGTTATTTTCTAAAAGTACCTTCATATTTTTTATATGGTTCATACCAATGTATTATTTCTTTATTCAGGTATCTATGGTGCTGGGTGTCTGATCACTGAGGGATCCCGTGGTGAGGGAGGCTTCCTTGTGAACTCTGAAGGTGAACGTTACATGGAGAGGTATGCACCCAATGCTAAAGATCTGGCCTCAAGAGATGTGGTATCACGTGCTAGCACCATTGAGATCAGAGAGGGCAGGTTAGTTCATATGCTATTGGTTTGTGTGTATTTTATTAAATGGATCCTTTTTTTTTTTTTTTTTAAATATATCATCTAAACAAATTATCCTGAAATACTTAAGACAGAAAATGAAATTTTTTTTCTTCATTTGTTTAACTGTTTTCATATAGTTTTTTGTTTTTTTGTTTTTTTTTTTGTGGTTTTTTTTTTTTTTTTTTTTTAAATATATCATCTAAACAGATTATCCTGAAATACTTAAGACAGAAAATGAAATTTTTTTTCTTCATTTGTTTAACTGTTTTCATATAGTGGACACCTGTAGATTTTTTTTACCATGGCCTCATTCAAAAGGCTGAATCCAAATGGTTTTATGGAAAAGAATGATGAGGATGATGTCATTCGTAATTTAAACTAGAGTGTAAAAAAAAAGGCTGTAAGGACATGTGCTCAGAGTGATAGCTAATTTCAGATGAATGTTTCAGAGGCTGTGGCAAAGACAAGGATCATGTTTACTTGCAACTTCACCATCTGGATCCTGAAGTGTTGCACACTCGCTTGCCAGGTGAGTTGTGAGAATTACAGCTGTCTGCCTCTTGTTGTACTTTCTGCAATAGCTGCTCTTCACTACAGAGCACCAGTCATTCTAGAAAATATGCTTTTAAAGTATTCAAAATTCATTACGTAAAAAAGGAACTGCAACATTGTCATTTATTTTATTCTAAAAGCAAAATTGCCAGGCTTTGATAAAGTAGGATTTGTTAATTGAAGAGAAGTTTATTTTCACTGATCAAATTGACCAACATCTTTCAGCCATTCAATAAATCAAACATTTTTTTTTCCAGGTATTTCTGAAACTGCTATGATCTTCGCTGGTGTTGATGTAACCCGAGAGCCCATCCCTGTCCTGCCCACTGTCCACTACAACATGGGTGGTATCCCCACTAACTACAAGGGACAGGTTAGTGTACACGATGATTAATAAATGACAAATCAAATTTGAAAGATATTCACAAATTTTAATTCATTATTAAAATAATTGATTAATAATATGGAGCGTTGTCGATAGTTTTATTAAAGAAACAAAGTGTATCATTTAGGGACCTCCACAAATTTTTTTGCATCTGTAATCTCTATTTTTCAATTGCCTATGACCAGGTAATCAAATACAGCAAAAAGACGGGTGATCAGGTGGTCCCTGGTCTTTATGCAGCAGGTGAGTCGGCCTGCGCTAGTGTGCATGGGGCCAATCGTCTTGGGGCCAACTCTCTACTGGACATTGTAGTGTTTGGAAGAGCTTGTGCCAATACAATCATTGAAGAGAACAAACCAGGAGATAAGATTGGACCCATTAAACAGGTTACTATTGAAGACATTCATTTTAAGTGTTGCTTCTTTAAATGGTTTCTATTTTACTGTTTCTGCATACCGGTACGGGGAATATTTATTAAACGTTTATTAGATGATGGTTTTATTTCAGTGTTTTATTACTGATTATATTTGTGGCAAAATTCCTGCCGAAGACAATAGGGGACTGGAACAAGCTTCCAAAAGCAACAGTTGAGGCGGCTACACTCGAGACATTTGTGTCTATTGCCTCCTGTATTCCAACCCCCAGTTCATAACACCACTGCTGAGTCGCCCTTGCAACCAGTGAAGTATCCCATTGAAACCCATGGACAGTAACATCGCAAACCCCTCTGAAACATAGGAGCCAGAATGATCAATTCATTGATCGTGGGCCCTAAAAATAAAGAAGAAGAAGAAAAACTGGAAATTATTTAATATACATATTTTTTATTTATATGGTTTTCATTAACTTTATCTCTAATAAAGAACTTGTTACTTTGTTTGTCCCTGAAATTTTAAAATAATCCACACTTTATTTATAAAATGATTTTAGAAGAAAATTTCCGTAAATTAATTCTATTTATTTTTAGAATGCTGGTGAGGAGTCGGTTGCTAATCTTGACCGTTTGAGACACGCCAATGGCTCAACTACAACAGCAGACCTCAGGTTACAGATGCAGAAGGTGTAGTATAAATAATAATCTATTATACAATCTAAACAGATTTTTTTCTGTTCCATTCTGTCTAGCAAAGTAGGGGGGACTAGCTTAATCAGAGATCAAAATTAAAATGTTTATCATAATTTTTTTTTTTAAATGGAGTGGTTATAATCTTAAATATCAAGATTGAAAACATTGTTCAAGAGACATTTAATCTTTTAGTGAAAAAAAATCCCAACTTTTAACTTTCCTATAATTTGATTCAGGGAAATATGTATTTTGGTTGTAAGATCAAAATAATGTTATCTGGGTTGTAACATTTTTGTATAATTTCTAATGAAATAAATATATGTACGACTTTACAATTGAATAGTAGGTTTTTTTTTAAATGCTGAAATAAGCTGATAGATTTGTTTTCTTTTTTTGGAAGAAAAAGTATGAGAAGAAAGCATAATTTTTTAAATTTTAAATCAAAGATCTATAATATACCAGGGCTTATCCAGGAGGTGCAGTTTTTTTTTACACCAGGTCCAGGTATTTTGAGAATTAGACCTACACACAGTCCAAAACCCTACCTGTCATCTTTAAACTACAGGCCAACCAAGAATCCTACACCATAACCTGCTGACCTTTAAACACTAGTCCTACAGAGAGTGCTACACCATAACTCTGACTCTTTATTGATTAATAAAATAGTCCAGTCGCGCCCCCCCCCCCAAAAAAAAAACATTCCTGAGTTCACATGTCACACATGATAGACTTTTTCTTTCACTCTGTACTATTAATATAAAACACTTTAATATACAACATAAGACCCCATGGTTAGGGGTGGGGCGGTTTGGAGAGCAGGGCATACCAGAAGCCAAATATATCATTGGATTTCAATGGAATAGTAGTTGTCAGAGTCTCAACCTCAAAAGTTTCTCACCCCTACAGACAATGCAGAACCATGCTAGTGTTTTCCGTGAAGGTATTAGCTTGAAAGAAGGCTGTGACAAGATGGCCAAGATTTATCAAGGAATGGACGATTTGAAGGTATCAAAGATGTTACATTTTTAGAATTTTTATTGAAATGAACAGCTGATTTAACAAAGTTCTGTGAACTACTTTTCAACATAGATTAAACGCATAGACTACCAAATTGAAAAGAAAAACCTGGTTTACATTGTTTATATATAGACTTAAATGTAATCTTCTTTATTAATTAATGTATTTATTAGATTTCATAATTATTTAAAAAATCCAAATTTTTAGCACACTAATTTATCAGCAAGTTTGTGTTATTAACTTAAAATTGAATTTGATTCATTTGACTAAAGGCATGTTAAAAATGATTTTGAATTACAATTCACACGCTCTGCAAAATTTCAGGTGTCTGACAGGGGTCTTATCTGGAATACTGACCTCATTGAAACACTGGAGCTACAAAATCTCATGATCAACGCTGTACAAACAATTGTTGGTGCTGAAGCCAGAAAGGAGAGCAGAGGGGCTCACCACAGGGAAGACTTTCATGTAAGTTTATAAATAACATTAGTCTTAACTTGCATATCTGATCATTAACACAACCTTTAAAGCATTGTGTGTTCATCTTTTCTTTCTTTTTTTAAATAGATGTAAATACCTTTAAAAATAATTGTTTGTATTTATTTAGACGCGTATTGATGAGTATGATTACAGTAAGCCATTAGAGGGACAGCAAAAGAAACCATTTGAGCAGCATTGGAGGAAACATACTCTTGCTTATGTTGACCAAAAGACAGGCGAAGTAAGAAATGTTCTTCTATCTTTACTGATGTTCCTACTCATTGTGTTAAAAAAAAAGTCCCAGAGAAAAGAAAGAGGCAGGGAGGGGGATTCTTGAATAGTTATTGCTATAAAATACATTTGATTAGTTTTCTTTCGGGCTTTTTTTCCCCTCATCTAAATTTAAACATTATTCTCCTTAGACGACATAGCAAACATAAGCTAAATTTTTATGGATGGTTTTATAATCAAGGATAAAGTTAGTGAAGCAGGTTATTTTTTTTTTAAGTATTGAAAGATGAAAAACAGCACATAAAAAATAAATGTTGCTAAGAGCAAGTTCAAGATGTTTGTTACTTAATCTTGTTCTTTACTTTAAGACGAGTGGGGCAGGACCTTATTGTAGGAATTAAATTTAAATTGTAGGATCAGTGGCTACTAGCTATCAATGGATAATTATGTTGAAAAATGTGTCCCAATACAAATCCACCCCAATGAATTAGTTCCCTCTGGAGTCTTAGTCCTAACATTATGTCGTGTCTACAGCAGTAGCTCTGGTCAGTCCTCACCATTCAGTTTCTGCCATGATTTCTTTCAGGTCACGTTAGACTACCGTCCTGTCATTGACAACACCCTCAACCTGCAGGAGTGTCCCCTAGTTCCGCCTGCCATCAGGAGCTATTAATTAAGCTGGTAAGTATGGAGTTGCATTGCAATATTGAATAATTTGAGCCAATCTCAAATTTGAGGGCATTATTTATCAAGTTTATTGATGATAATAAAGAATTTGATTAATCTGCTGGGACAAGCAAGAACAGGCTGAGATGAGAAATGATTTCTAAGTGCTCACCAACATGTCCAAAAAAAATGAGTGATGTTGAATTTAAAAGTTTTTAACTTAAATTCTCTAGTGACAGACAGTGTTTAATAAAGTATTTTCGGCCCAGACAGGTTTGCATTTCATTTGCTTAAGGGCCAGCAATGTTAAAACAATTAATCATTCTCCCTCCTTTTCTTATTGCGTAGGTATATTTTTGGGTGAAATGGTTTCAGAATGACTGTGAAAATTGTTGCACTCATATGTTAATGCCAGGATCCCTCCCCTCTACAGATCCAGCTCCTGATGAATTGTTGTTTTTTTTAGTTTTTCAAGTGCAATGATTTTTTTGCCCCCCCAGGCATGGGACGACAACCACTTGAAATGATTCCTGATAACAAAGCTCACTTGATCTGCCAGGCAAGAACTCAAGGAGGAATGGGGAATGTACGTTTTCATTAACTGTAGAATGACTTGTTAAACCAATGTTTTTACTTTTAAATTGCTTTATGATATTATTCACTAATCTCAAGCTGGCTGCACTGATATTTTGACAGGAGTGGAAAGGCTGCATGTCAAGATGTCTAAATAAATATGTTTGATTGTAAAATGATATGTTGTTTTTTCTATGACAGAGGGCTCTATTATAAGTAGTGCAGTTGTTGTTTTTTGTTTTTTTTTTTTGGCAATTGCTTAATCTTGTCATGGTTGTAGCATCAAAGACTGGACAAGTTACCATTATACAGGCATAAAAGGATTTCTTGATAAAAATCATTTTTACAGAAAAAAGTGTTTATCAGATTGTAATGCTAAACCTAAATTTAAAATAAAAATAAAATTTCAAAATGAATAGAAATTAAACATTTAATAAGTTGGACATATGATGAACTCCTCTGCTATTTTTGAGGATTCAGAGCAGATAACAATTACATGGTCATTTTTGATTGGCCTATTTTGCTATATTAAAAGAAATGAATTGTTGAATCCATCCATCAAAAAAGTTGGTTTCTTTTATGCAAAGTCAGTTGGCTGTGATTTACCCTGACAGTTGGATTCTGACAGATGCCCATTTAGTTATCTGTTGGATTTTGACAGATATCCATTCAGTTATCTTTTAGATTCTGGCAGATTAGTTATCAGTTATCTTTTGTATTCTGGCGGATGTCCATTCATATATATCCTGCAGTTCACACTGAAGTCAAGTCGAAATTTACTGATACATAATTTATTTTGTAAAACTTCAACACCGGGAAGCCAGTGAGATTTTCCTGAAAGCTGCTGGTCAATATCAATCATTGTAATATTTCCAAAACCAGTAATTTTTTATTTTATTTTATTAATTAGTCACAATAGTTTGTATCTGTTAGGGGAATTTCTGTGTTAAATGCTTTTTTTTTAAAGATGTGTATTGAATTAATGTTATTAAATTAAAAAATACTTTGAAGTTACATAAATCTATTTGCACATCTCTTGATGAAATCGATTTATATGTAAATATGTTCTGTTCTGTTAAAGTTAAATGGTTAGAAATGAGCTTTCTTACTCCAGTCAATAAATGTGGTAACAAAAATTTGGGAAAAGATCTTTTGTTGGTAATTTAATTTCAAACATTTTATTTTTTGTACTGTTAAACTCCAAATATATTTTTATCATAATTTATAACAAATAAAATAATCCCGAAATTTAAATAACCTTTTTCACATTGAGAGGACATAACTAACAGTGTGATGCAATTACTAAAGGGGGTCACCCACATTGTTTTGTGGTTTTTTAATAATATGAAATTCCCTCCTCATACATATGCAGGTACCACTTTTTGTGCGACAAAGCAACTTACCATGTCTACACAAAAATGTTAATGTTTATTGTATAAATTTACGGAGAAGAAATTAGTACAGGAATCACTTAAGTGGGTCGTCCAAAATGTGTCAACATTTGAACTGCCTTTTCTAAAAATAATTTAATTATAAATTGTGCTCTCTCTCTCCAAAGACAATGTCTTTAAACTATTTACAAAATCAATTTTCGTAACACTTGCAAGCAAACATACAATTTAAATGATTATAATGAATAATTTTCTGTGTCATCTGAATCTTCCACCATCTTTACCATCTGAATATGTATTAAAGGAGTTAATTACCGTACACTACACTTCTGAGGATTGGATATTAAATTCGTTATTCACAAATTCTTTCAGAAACTTCATTATTGCAATCATTATCTGGTAACCCGTATTTGCCTATAGGGAAGCACCTTGAGCTAGTATACTGCAGGCTCTCCGAACCGCAAAAAAATTATCACAGCAGACGACCCGCCACTGTGCCAACACTTACTGGCTAGACCTTTGCAATTTCAGACAACGGAGATGCAAGGAGCATGTACGAGGGCATCAAGAGGGCCCTTGGTCCACACACGTCAAAAATAGCAACACTCAAGTCCAAGACGGGTCAAATTATCAAGAATCCAAATGATCAACTCCGCGTTGGGTAGAGCACTATCTCGAGCTATACTCTACAATGAATGTAGTTACTGAGACCGCTCTCCATATATTCCTGCCTTATCAGTAATGAAAGAGCCAACTTTACAGGAGCTTGAAAAAGCCATCGATTACCTTGTGGATGGGAAGGCTCCAGGGATCGACGGCATCCCAGCGGAAATCCTCAAAAGTGGAAAACCTATCCTACTTTAGCCCTTACATGAGCTTGAGCTCCTCTGTCTGTTTTGGGAAACCGGTCACATTCCCCAGGACATGAGAGACGCCAACATCGTAACATTGTATAAAAATAAAAGGGACAGAAGCGATTGCAATAACTACCGAGGTATTTCTCTCTTTAGCCTAGTTGGAAAGACTTTTGCCCGCGGTTGCCCTTAAATGATTGCAGAGCTTTGCGAACTGCATCTACCCAGAGTTCCAGTGTAGCTTCAGGAGTGGGCGCTCAACAATAGACATGATATTTTCGCTACGCCAAATGCAGGAGAAATGTCGCGAACAGCATATGCCTCTTTATATTGCCTTCATAGACCTGACCAAGGCATTTGACTTGGTAAGTCGAAGAGGCCTTGTCAGTATCCTGCAAAGAACAGGTTGTCCCCCACGACTGCTCACAATAATACAGTCATTTCACAAAAACATGCACAGCACAGTAACTTTCAATGGCACTGTCTCTGAGTCATTCCCAGTTAGCAGCGGAGTAAAACAGGGTTGTGTACTGGCACCAACGCTCTTTTCAATTTTCTTTTCGATGATCCTTCAATTTGCTTGCAGTGACTGTGAAGATGGAGTGTGCGTCCATACAAGATCTGATGGAAGACTGTTCAATATCACCCGCCTTCATGTGAAGACCAAAGTAAAAAAGGTGCTGATTCGTGAACTGCTGTTCGCTGATGATGCCGTCTTAACATCTCACACAGAAGAAGGTCTGCAGGGGCTGGTTGATCGTCTACCATATGCTTGTAAAGAGTTTGGTCTTTCGACTAGTCTACAGAAAACTCATGTAATGATGCAAGAAGCACCGTTCCCTCCAATCATATCTATTGAGGGTCATAATCTGTCGGTTGTTGATCATTTCATATACCTGGGATCCAATATTTCTAGTTCTCTCTCCGTTGATGAAGAGATCAATATCAGGATTGCAAAAGCAGCAGCAACTATGGCTAAACTGAATAAGTGGGTGTGGAATAATCTCAATCTAACTGATAAAACAAAAATCAGGCATGCGTGCTTAGCACGCTCCTATATGGTAGCAAAGTGTGGACCACATATATCAGTCAGGAGCAGAAACTCAACAGCTTCCATCAAAGATGTCTGCGTCGCATTTTGCGCATTCGTTGGCAGGACAGGGTGCCTAACGTGGAGGTTTTGGAACGTGCACACATGTTTAGTATATTCTCCTTTCTTATCAAGAGGCTCCTTCGCTGGTTAGGTCATGTACGGAGAATGGAGGATGGACGTATCCCAAAGGTTCTGCAGCATGGAGAGTTGGCTGAGGGGACAAGACATATTGGACGACCACGCCTGAGATTTATTGGTGTTTGCTAACGAAGCATGAGGGAAGCCAATATTGAAACAAACGAATGGGAGTTCATTGCCTAACATCGCTCCAACTGGCGTACAGCAGTGCTTGGAGGAGTGAAAAAGGCAGAAGTTATTCGAAATGAGGCCCTCGAATCAAAAAGAGCAATTCGAAAATCAAGAATTTACCGGGTTTCAACATTCTCCTGCGAGAGATGCGGCCGTGATTGCCATTCAAGGATTGGCCTAGTGAGCCACTCGTCAAAGTGTAGATCTATAGAGCTACTCCATCGTCTCACGAAGACGGGAGGATGACGTAATCTGGTTGATACAAATCTACATGACAAGTGCATTTCTGCTTATTACATCATCGAACACTCGATTGAACAATCTTGTAAATTGTAGCACAATTGATAATCTATCATCTCCCTTATTGTACTGGAGTTATATCACATGAGATTTTGTTTCCAGCTTTGATTTTTTAAACCATTTTTAAAGATACCTTCTACTTGACTTGCAAACCCATGGGGTTTGTTTGTAACTTTGTAGCATAATTTTTTAGTTGTCACACGTGACCCTCTCGCTCAGCTGATTATGGTTGATAGTGTCTCGTTCAGTCAGTGAACAGTGGGAGAAGGGTAGGGTAAGGAGCTCAAATGAGACCCGTATGATTTTGGGGAGAGTTGGTTCAAATGGTCTGTGTAAGACTAGTAGACTCGCGACCAGGGTTATAAAAGGCAGCAGTCTTCTTTTTTAATTTTATGACCAGGTAAAGACTTATTGTCACTGTAAGCTGACCGGGATTTTGTAAGCATGTGATGTTTCAACAAGTACAAGATTCTTCTTTTATCGATAAATCAAAGATTACAATTTTTAATACTAAAAAGTCAAAAATTAACAACAATAAAAAACCTTGAAAGACGAGCTTTAAAAAAGTAGGAAATAATGAACAATTTTTTACCAATGCATTATGCAAAGAAAGTGTGCAGATTATATTTTCAAAAATGAATAAAAGTAAAACATTTTTACAAGTTTGTCTACATTTAATCCGAACCATTTGCTACATAGAATGCTTGTCTACTGCCGCACATTTGCACAATGCACTTGAAGAAAGTTAAAATTATTATATATTTAAAAAAAAAAATTAAGTGCGTTTAAACTCGTCTTTGATAGAAATAAAACTTTTTTTTTTAATATTAAAAAATAATAATAGTTATGCTCAAACTTCAAGAAATCATTCATTGATATAAAATTTGCAGCTTGATTAAATTGTGTTTAATACTGGATTTAAGATAAGATTCTTTTATTGGTCTGAACAAATGGAAATGTTATTTGATTGCATTGTACATTTTCAGCACAAAAATAAAACGATTTGAACACAAGAAATTTATTTGAAAAAAAAACCAGCCATTCAATGTGTTATGGACTTCTTAGTTCTCATGAAGATGTTTGACTTCAGGGAGAGCACGCTGGTAAATTCGTACAGATTGGGGAACAAAATAATTTTTATATCTTTCAGTCCTCGCCCTGACGGAAAGAATTCTTCCCGAACAAGCCGATCCTAAGTATTTGTGATGAAGAGGGTGGGATGTATTGTCCAAAATGTGTTTAGTTTTACAAAAACATATTTCTTCAAATAGTTCTTCAAGTGAAGGATGTTTAGTTTGTGTTATGTTCCTAGCTTTCTTGATTAGTCAGTTTATGCGGTGTTTAATATCAGACGTTGAATTCCGTTGAATTCCCACACCAGCAGGTAATACTGAAATTAAGCAGGCTTCCAATTGTTGCACTTGATTGTTTACGCCAAAATTGTACAGTATTTTTGTTTTTTAGGTAGAGCGGTCTTTGGTTGAATTTCTTATACAGCATTTTGCCGTGCTCATGCCATGTTAGCTTATTATTAATGGTTACTCCTAAGTATTTGTATGCATCCACTTTCTCTATGCTTCGATTTTTTATGTTGAGATCTGTAATCTGGTGTTTCCCCCTCCTGAAATCAACAACCATTTCCTTTGTTTTTGAGATATTCAGCGGGAGAAAATTTTCATCGCAACAATTCATAAAGCTTGTAACTAAGTTGCGGTATAGACCTTCTCCTACAGGTATTAAGCCAACGATGGTGGAATGGGCGCCCGCAGAAAACTTTCTAGGGGGAGCAAAAAAATCGATTAACTTTCCAGGGGGGTGGGGCAAAACATTTATAGTAATGTTTTAATATAGTTTTAGTTTGCTGTAGCGCATTTGTATGGTGAACGAACCGACAGGACACCAGCTTAGTTACTTTCTCTTTATTTTCTCTTTACTTTAATAAATTTTTGTCTATTTTTTTTTAATCCAATCAATCCAGGGGGGGGGGCAAGTGCCCCACCCCTTGCCCCTACCTGCGGGCGCCCATGGATGTGGTATCATCAGCAAATTTTAAGATTGGAACGATGTCGCTTGAGCTTTGAACATCATTGGTATATATGGTATACAGTACAGGAGAGAGAACGCAGCCTCGTGGCGCCCCTTTGCTTATTTCTTTGGTTAGAGATAATTGGTCATTGACCTTCACGTATTGTGGTCGATTTGTTAAAAAGTTCAGTATCCAAGCCTGAATATTTAAATTGACACCTAACGAGGAAAGTTTCTTTATCACAAGGTGTGGTTGGATGGTGTTAAATGCTGGTGTCTAAGAAAAGCACTCTTGGCATATGTTTTAGGACCATCTAGGTGATGATAAAGTCTCTCCAACAATAGTAAGATTGCACCCTCCGTACTTCTGGCAGGTTTGTAAGCAAACTGGTGGGGGTCAAGTTACTGCTGTACTTCATTGAAAATTTGTCTCAGAATAAGTTTCTCAAAACATTTCATGACAATAGAGGTAAGTGCAACAGGTCGTAAGTCGTTGTTGCAAGTTACCTTATTTTTTAATTTTTTTTTTTGGAATTGGTCTGTTTTTTGATGTTTTCCAAATTGCTGGTATTGTGTGAGTTGCATAATATTTATCAAATAACAAAAAAAATGTAGGAGAGCTGCTCTGAACATAGTTTAATGAGCCGACCACTTAATTTGTCTGGTCCCGAGGCTTTAGCTGCGTCCACTTGTTTAAATAATGACAAAACTCCCTTTTCAGTGAACAATAAAGTACCATCCTGTTTACTACTGCCATCTTGAAATGAATTCATCATATCATTGTGCACTCTTCCAAAGTCCAGGCTGTCAAAACGACAATAAAAGTCATTTAAGTCGTTAACAAAATTCCTCACGTCCTCAACACACAAGCATTCATCTTAGGAGTAGATCCTGTTCTTTGCTTTAGTCCTTTCTAATTTTTTTTGGTATTTTTTTTTACCCTGATATATTTTTTCCTTCAATAATTTTGAGCTTTAATGAATTCCTGATCGTTAATCTTAAACATGTTCTTCTTGGGGTGGATGGCCTCCTTTATTTCTCTGCTCATCCAGGGTTTGTTGTTGTTGAATACTCGGATGGTTTTTTGGGGAATAATTTCGTCTACACAGAACTTAATATAGGAATTGACGGTGTCTGTTAGCTCGTCAATGTCCGGGCAAGTATTTATAAACGTGTCCCAATCTTTACATTCCAAGCAGGCTTGAAGTTCTTCTGTCGCCTCATCTGACCACAGGTCAATAGTTTTTGTTTGAGTTTTTGTTGTTTTTAAAACTGGCTTACGTTATAGCATGGCGTAAGGTGGACCATTGTGTGATAAAAAAAAAAAATCTCGAAAGACGAGTTTTAAAAAAAGTAGGAAATAATTTACTTTGTAACTTCGCTACACATTAGATTTGTATCGACAATCAAATAACGAAGTTCGATACCGCGTATATTCTTCCTAAGAATACGAGTAGGAATAACCTATTCGTAGACCGTTAAATTTAATCAGAAGTATTATTCTTATAATTCTATTCTCCAACATAAGTGTTTAAATAGCTTGAAAAACGACACGAGTAATTTTTCACCGTATGGATAGACACCCGAATTTTGTGTCCAATAATGGATAAGCAAACGGAATGTGTTTAAATGTGCATCATTTTTGGTAATCAATAGTACATTATAGTAGACCTTATAATAAAAGGGCAAATACCCTTGTGTTTGTTTAGCAGACGGGAGCTTAGCGTTTGTCTTTCAAAAATTATCTTCCCGGTGATTGGTGGAGTCTGTGTACTGTGATAATATATTCCAACTGTGCTACTCAAACATAGAGTCTAAGAGCAAGTTTGCTATCGTTTTAAATAAAAATGGCTTAACAGTTTGATAGTGAAGTAAATGTGGCTTAACAGTTTAATAGTGAAATAAATATGGCTTAACAGTTTGATAGTGAAATAAATATGAATTTATATTTTGATAGTTAAATAAATATGGTTAAATAGTTTGATAGTGCAATAAATATTTTGATAGGATATACATCATTGAAAAGCAACTTTATTTGGCTATAAAACATGCGTCATCTGAATGAGACTACAGGTCGAGTCCCATACCATGATGATGATGACCACATTATCTGAATGAGACTACAGGACGAGTCCCATACCATGATAATGATGACCACACCATCTGAATGAGAATACAGGTCGAGTCCCATACCATGATGATGATGACCACATTATCTGAATGAGACTACAGGTTGAGTCCCATACCATGATGATGATGACCACATTATCTGAATGAGACTACATGTCGAGTCCCATACCATGATGATGATGACGACCACACTATCTGAATGAGACTACAGGTCGAGTCCCATACCATGATAATGATTACCACACCATCTGAATGAGACTACAGGTCGAGTCCCATACCATGAAAATGATGACCACATTATCTGAATGAGACCACATTATCTGAATGAGACCACATTATCTTGACTGAATGATTTTGTTCCCCCTTGGCAAACTGAAATGTTCTTACTTGGAATTATGGAGGGAGACAACCCCTCTCCACACTAACGGGATAGTCAATGTATTTTTATACAATTTCTATTTACCACACAATAAAACAATGGCAGCAGAGAACGAATATCTGTATCCAGCATCGTAGCTTCGTTTATACATTTAAATGTACTCATTACGAAATAGGTTGTTGTTTATCTAAGTATTCAAATTCTTTGTCCAGCTCACCGATTTTTGCATTCTTGTCAAGAGGCACCTAATGCACGTGCCGTGTTTTGACCCACCTTCGCTACGCCACTACCCATCCTATTCCAGATTTAATGTAATTTAATTTACAGGTTATTTAACATATGCAGGCTGTAATTAATTTTTTTTTTCAAAACTAAATTCTCGTAGAAAAAAAATAAAACAAATGCATTGATTCTTGTAACAACTACAGTTAAAAAATGAATACCAGGCACACTTCATTAATCAGCGGAGACGTACTTCAACTTCTAAACTTCATAAACCAAGCAACACTGGGGACCTGCCTCGCCTGCATTGGAGTCATAGGAAATCTCATCAACCTCATCGTGTTCTTCAAGCAAGGTGTGTCTGAGAGTATCAACATCAGCCTTGTGGCGCTCACGGTTTCTGACCTTGGCTCTCTCCTCACCGTTCAGTGGATCAACTTGCTCTGTAATCCAGCGTTCACCAGCTCCGGCGTTCCGATTGTGAGGACGGACATCTTCTTTTTAACCGCGGGTACGCCCCACGGACTTTTTGCGAGGGTGACAAGCTGGGTCACTGCGTACATAACTATCGAGAGATGCCTGTGCGTGGTGATTCCTTTGAAGGTCAAGTTCGTGGTGAGCCCCAAATTGACCTTGCGTGTCATGCTGGTAATATACGTCGTGATGATGCTAACCCTGTTGCCCACGTACGCGACGGTATACATGACATGGAACTGGTACCCGGATGTTAACAGGACATTGCTTGGTCTTACACTGGCAGGCGGGAGTGACGTCACGATTTTCGTGACCTACGCTCTCAGTGCGTCGACACAAATAACTTCTTTCTTGATTGTTGTCATATTTACGTTAATTCTAATCACAAACATCAGACGAAATTCGAAATGGCGGCTCTCTTCGGTTGTGTTCAGTCTAGACTCAGCCAATGAACATTCGAAAAAGCGAGATTCCAAGACGCTCAAAATGGTGACCATGATGGCGGCGATTTATATCGTCTGCTTCTCGCCAATGATGATGATGTACATCGCCATTAGCTCAGTTTCTGGGTTTTCGGCAAATGGTCCATACCAAAACGATTACTTCGCCGCATGGTCGTTCGCAGACCTTCTTGACTCTCTTAACTCAAGCGCCAGTTTCTTTGTGTACTACGTCATGAGCACAAAATATAGAAAAACTTTCAAAGAATTTTTCAGACGACGCAGTTGCCATCTTTGTGCCAGACGGTGCAATACCCCAACATCACCACGTGATATGCCCGTGACAACAGGAAGTATTTGTAGGCGTGGTTGAAATCGTGGACTTAAGGATATAATTCGAACACCTGGTCTGATATCGAGGTTCTTGGCGGAATTTCTATTATATTAAAAAGTTAGCCATAGACTTTTGTTTACACAATTTTGGTTTAAAAAATTATGAACATATTCTGCAGTGCAACAATTGGAAGCCCATTGACCTTTAGCATTACCTGCTGATGTGGGAATTCATCGCTTCTAAACAAACACAGATGAAATCAAATAGACTTAATCAAGAAAAAGAAGAAAAAGGTATGTGGGAGCTTGAAATAGAAAGACAGGACGATTTCTATTTATTTTTTATTTCTTCATATGTCCTGTCTGCTGAGGAAGGCTCTGAGACAAAACCTTATTCTTTAATTGCTCTGTATTTCTATTTTAAGCTTCTCATACATTGTTCTTCGATTAATTATCCTTTAATCAAGAGAGCAAGTAAAAATCGCTCAAACAAAATTTGCTTCGCTTGAAGAACTATATGAATATGAAGCAATATGCATTTGAAGAATGCAAACCATTTTCTTCCTAAGAGATTGCTACGATCAGCTCCATCAGAAAGAATGTTTTCCCTCAAAGTTGGGAACGAAAGATATAAAATTCATTTGTTCCACCATCTATCAGTATCAGAATTTAGCGTGCTCAGACGGTTGTTACAAATATTAAACAATCACTCTTAAAGTCAACATTGTCATTAATTGAGTGAAATTCTTTTGAATATAACGGATGATTGTTGCACTTGAGAAATAATTTAGATGTCTTGTGTTAAATTGTTCTGGTTTAAAAATGTTTGTCTATATGTAAGAATATTTGTCTATGTGCTGGCAATGAATAGGTACATTGTAAGGAAAAAAAATCGTTTATTTGGATCAATAACATAATCTTATCTTATCTTATTTCTTAAAGCAGCGTTACAGAGATGAACTGTATGAGTTTTATCATAGAGAATGTGGTGACATGTAGGCTACACACAAGTCTGTTTATGTCTTATATGTTATACAATGGAGACAATAATAATACATTCACACCAATAAGGTACATTTTCCCACTTAGATTTTCAGTTTTGTAAACACTTTACTTTAATACGGTCAATTTAAATGCACTTTAAATTACCATTCCGCATCAAATGGACTACAGTAAAACTTCGGTATTCTGTAATCTTTAATCATTTTTATTGTTGGAGAACAAAAAAAAAGGGGGGGGGGGTTGGGGGGATATTGAATCATGCAGAATCGAGCCCCGTTCCTCCCTCTGGAAGTCCCTCGTCGGTACATGGGCGCCCATGGTGGGGTAGGACTTTGGGTTGGTCCCGCCACACCGTTTTAGGCCACGTGTTCTTTATCCGTTCTATCAGGCCGGCGAAAATTAAATTGTAATCTTTTGGGCTGAGCTGCGACCTTCACTGATTAAAACACAAATTTATTTTTACATTATTTTATTATGTATTATTATTAATATTAAGACTAGCAAGACTTGTACAATGGCTTATCTTACCTTGCTTATCACAAACGTACCTTTAAAAAAGTGTGGTCGTATAGTGCTATCGTGGTTTAGCAGTGGCGTAGCAAGGGTTAGGGCCGCCAAGAGGCAGACCAAGATTTTTGCCATCTCCATTCCACAAAGTACATGTATGCTCAGCAGTTGGCCGAAAATGCCGCCCTACGTGCCGCCCGTTCCTAAAAAAAAATCCTTTTAACTCTTGAAATACGAGGTAAGGGGAAAAACTCGGATTCGATATTGAGAGGAACTGGAACAATTTAATGATGTGTTTAAGTACATTAAACGTCATATAGGAGTGCATTAAGGATACACAGGGCCGGCCCTAACATTTGCGGGACCCTATGCGAAACGGATTGCGCGGGGCCCAGTCTGGGTAGGAATAAGGATAATATATTAGATAAAAAGTTCGGGGCCCACTGCGGCCGCATAGGTTGCAGAGGCCTAAGGCCGACCCTGAGGATACGGTTAGCTATCACAAACCTAATATAAAAGAGTGTTGGACTGCCATAAAGCTTCCAATAGATTAATGAGTCACAAACAATTTGTGTAAATAAAACAATATAGCAGAGGCGTAGCGAAGGGGGTGGCAGGGGGGACAGACGTCCCCGGGCGTCAAAATGTGATCTGATATTATTTTATTGATGAAAATAATGGGCTTGAGGTTTGAAAAGAGAAAAGGGGCGCCTCAAAATGAATCTTGTCCCTGGGCGCGAAAAGTGCCCCCAGGCGCCAAAACTCTCGCTACGCCTCTGCAATATAGGTTAAGATTTATTATTGATTATACAGAATAAAATTATTTGTGTAAAAGTTTCGTAAAATGACGTCATCAGTAAAAACCCTCTCCCCCCTGCCCCCACAAAAAAATAAAATTCTTATAAGTATAAATTAAATTTACATTATATATTTTATACTACCTAAACATGAAAGAAAAGAATAAGAATGGGCATAAATCCCTATAACTAAAACAAAACTCAGATGAACGGAAAGGAAATCGGTAGAAGTAAAATAAAAAGCCGAGACATTTGTATTCTGTGTAACAATGATTAAATCTTAACTTTCTTTGTTTTTAGGCAAGAGCGAATGCTTTATTAGACACATCACAGAGGTGTCATTTCAGGTTTTTCAGGGTGGCAAAAATAAAAAAAATTGGTCGGCTTGTTACTGGAGGCACCCAGAGGCGTAGCGAGGGGGGGCAGGGGGGACAGCTGTCCCCGGGCGCCAGCTAGTTAGGGGCGCCAAAATGACTGTGCTTTGATATTATTTTATTGATGAAAATAATAGGTTTGAGAGTTGAAAAAAAGAAAAGGGGCGCTTTAAAATGGATCTTGTCCCCGGGCGCGAATCTTGTCCCCGGGCACCAAACACCCTCGCTACGCCTCTGGAGACGCCGCAGGACATAGAAGTTTAAATAAAACCTGCAGAATGCCCTACTCTGCCCTACCCAAATGATGCCCTGGTGCAGGAAAAGGTTTTAAATAATTATCTGATGGTCAACGGTCTATACTTTTTGCTGTGGCGTAGCTAGGGTTTGTGACGTAGCTAGGGTTTGTGGGGTAGCTAGGGTTTTTGGCGTAGCTAGGGTTTGTGGTGTAGCTAGGGTTTGTGACGTAGCTAGGGTTTGTGACGTAGCTAGGGTTTGTGACGTAGCTAGGGTTTTTGGCGTAGCTAGGGTTTTTGGCGTAGCTAGGGTTTGTGACGTAGCTAGGGTTTTGATGTAGCTAGGGTTTGTGACGTAGCTAGGGTTTGTGACGTAGCTAGGATTTGTGACGTAGCTAGGGTTTGTGCCGGGTTGGTCATGATCTTTGCTGCCCCCCCCCCCGCCACCACCTTCCCAGAAGAAATTCAACCATGCATACAAGGAGGAATAAGGATCGTTAGGATAGGGTCGTAGCTAGGGTTTGTGACGTAGCTAGGATTTGTGACGTAGCCAGGGTTTGTGCCGGGTTGGTCATGATCTTTGCCGCCCCCCCCCCCGCCACCACCTTCCGAGAAGAAAATCAACTCTGCATATAAAGAGGAATAAGGATCGTTTGGATAGGGCCACCCCCTCCGCACCCTATTGATACGCCACTGACTTTATGCTTAGTAAAACGTAACTGAAGCAAGATTTGCAATAATTGTTTTATTGGTAACATGGGCGTAATATTTTAATGTTTTTTAATTTATTGAAAACAAACATGACATCCTTGAGGAGCGATCTAAAGATCATGCATCCGTCTTGATTGGTTCGACCTGTAGATCATACAAAACCGGTTGATTGATATCCATATTTGTATCACTAATAGTACATATCGTTAGATTCTTGTTCCAAATGTGTTGTGTACACGAACTTTATATATTTGAGTTAGACACAGACAAAAACAGAGATAGATTAGAGAGAGAAGAGAGTGAGTAGAGAGAGAAAAGAGTGAGTAGAGAGAGTGAGTAGAGAGTGAATGAGTAGAGCACCTACTATTCAGGGTAGAATTCCAAAGATGGAGTCCGGGGAGCACACCATGTGACACGTTATGCAACCATTTTCATCAGGATGGTAGTTGCAGCCCATCGGGGGAGCCGCACACGGTGGAATAGGGCCACAAGTGGGTATCACTGCCGCTATACGGAAAGTGGTGGATATTTTTTAATATAATAATACACAGTGTGAATGTGATGATGTTGACCAAAAGTTTATTGTGAAAAGGGGGTAACGGATAAGCTGTCCCAATGCCGTGCTGATGAGACAATTTCTGCCATGGCAAATGTGGTGGCCAGTTGGTCTAGTGATTGTTCTGCTCTACATTCCAAGTTTTTGAGCTAACTTCCCGTCACACCACCAATTTACTCACGGAGTCACTTGACATTCTAGTCACAAACTGTGTGTCTTTCAACACATCTTACCATGTACATGGCAGACAAAGACAACAATAAGAACATATATTACCTTGTACATGGAAGGCAAAGAAATAGATTATGAACATATTTTAATGTGTATATGGCAAACAAAGACAAACAATAAAAACATATGAAGGGATCAAGGGAAAAATCAGTGATGTCAGTTTTTTAAAAATTTCTATGTTATCTCCCTTGTGGCTACATTCCATTTAATAGAATAATATGATAAATAGGTCCAACTGAAAAAGCAGCGTAGTCAATAAATAAATACGTAGACATCTTGATATTTTCATACTTTTATGAGGAATATTACAACTTTAAATTCAATTTTATCAAAACTCTCAAAACCTGACATCACTGGGTTTTCCCTTGAGCCCTTCATATATTACCATGTACATGGCAGACAAAGACAAACATTAATAGCATATCTTACCTTGTACATGGCAGGTCAAGACAAACAGAAAAACTGTTAAAAGAGCAAAATATACCAAAGATCTCATTGTGTCTCCAGTTGTCGGTCAATTCACAACTCGTGACGTGATGACAGTGGCTTTTATATAGTTTAGATGTTTGATTTTATCTTTTAATTTTATTCTAATCTCTTACTTGAACTTGAAGTCATCACCTACATAAGCAGAAGCGGCTTTGCCTATAAAAAAGACAACTGTTGTGGACAAGATGAGGCCACAATGCTATAGGACATTGCAACCCTTGCATAGGAATTGAGGGGGTCTATCCCGGCTATAGGACATTGCAACACTTGCATTGGAATTGAGAAGGTCTATCCCGGGCGCGACATTTTTTGGTGCTTTTTTGTTTTACGGAAACCTTATATTTTTCTTTGAATATTAGAATCTTATAAATATATTGCATCTGGTGTGTCTGCTTCCATTTCAAAACCGCACCCCAACAAACTCCGCATGTTAAAAAAAATTAATAGTACTGAGGGAAAAAAGGCCTGTTATAGGGGTCTAAGGAAATTTTCTTTTCTTTAGGTGGGTGGGACTATTATATCAATCAATAAAGAGCCACGGATGCGGTGTAGGACTGTCTTTTAGACTGTCCGTGGGACTATTGTTTAAAGGCCGGCAGTTAGGGTGTAGGACTGTCTGTAGGTCCAATATTTAAAGGCCGGCAGGTAGGGTGTAGGACTGTCTTTAGGTATATTTTTCAAAGGCCGGCAGGTAGGGTGTAGGACTGTCTTTAGGTATATTTTTCAAAGGCCGGCAGGTAGGGTGTAGGACTGTCTTTAGGTATATTTTTCAAAGGCCGGCAGGTAGGGTGTAGGACTGTCTTTAGGTATATTTTTCAAAGGCCGGCAGGTAGGGTGTAGGACTGTCTTTAGGTATATTTTTCAAAGGCGGCAGGTAGGGTGTAGGACTGTCTTTAGGTATATTTTTCAAAGGCCGGCAGGTAGGGTGTAGGACTGTCTTTATGTATATTTTTCAAAGGCGGCAGGTAGGGTGTAGGACTGTCTTTAGGTATATTTTTCAAAGGCGGCAGGTAGGGTGTAGGACTGTCTGTATCTGTTGACCTATTTCTCAAATACCCGGACCCGGTGTAAACAAACCTGCACCCCGTTAAGCTCTAGTAAAATATATTAATCGTAAATTAATGGTTTTCTTGTTAATTCTACTAACTTTCCCACGGTGGTAAGGACTCGAACACTTCCCACCACAATGGAACGCCCGTTGGGTTAGCTTTTGCCGGACCGGTCCACCTAGCTGGGTGGGACATTCTGAGCAGTATTATATAGGAAGAGAAAATCCCCCTCAGAACGGTTAGACATGAAGGAAAGTATTCACTGCTCTACCCACTTGTCGGATAGTTTTAGCCATAGGATTGAGCTACTGTCCCCCTTCAGGGTGGGCCAAGATTTTAGCCATAGGAATGAGCTACTGTCCCCCTTCAGGGTGGCCAAGATTTTAGCCATAGGATTGAGCTACTGCCCCCCTTCAGGGTGGGCCAAGATTTTAGCCATAGGATTGAGCTACTGCCCCCCTTCAGGGTGGGCCAAGATTTTAGCCATAGGATTGAGCTACTGCCCCCCTTCAGGGTGGGCCAAGATTTTAGCCATAGGATTGAGCTACTGCCCCCCTTCAGGGTGGGCCAAGATTTTAGCCATAGGATTGAGCTACTGTCCCCCTTCAGGGTGGCCAAGATTTTAGCCATAGGATTGAGCTACTGCCCCCCTTCAGGGTGGCCAAGATTTTGGCCGCCCCCTTTCACGAAAATTCTCTGCATTAGGCCGAAAATTCCGCTCCTCCAGATACAAAATAAATAAATCCGACCTCACAGACCACCCTCAGCACAAGCACCATTCATCCACCTAAGCCTAGGCCTCCCCTTGATCCGTGGTGGTTCACCCTCTTCACTCCTCTGTCATTAGGCACTTGGTGGTTCACCCTCTTCACTCCTCTGTCATTAGGCACTTGGTGGTTCACCCTCTTCACTCCTCTGTCATTAGGCACTTGGTGGTTCACCCTCTTCACTCCTCTGTCATTAGGCACTTGGTGGTTCACTCTCTTCACTCCTCTGTCATTAGGCACTTGGTGGTTCACCCTCTTCACTCCTCTGTCATTTGGCACTCTTTCTAAGTGTCCCGTAGAGCGAAGACTACCCCGACTTTTTTTGTTACATTTCTGCTACTAGCGTGGGAACCTGATATATTGTATACAATTCAAGGTTGGTTCGTATTCTCCATCCAAAGTCATCATTTGTTGATGGGTATATTTTCCGGAGAACTCTCATGAGTTCAACACGTTTTCTGACGTTTTTGTAAGCGTCCAACTGCAGATGTTGTTTGTTTTTTCTCTAAAAGAAATGACAACTGTAGCATTAATTTGTACATTATTTATTAATGTTTTTTTATTGGAAAATCATGGCATGGCATGACAACTCAGATAATATCTTCTAGATCGTCCTAGACTACAGAGCCATGATGGCTGTCACTAGTCGAAGCAAGCATAGTCTGTAATTCACAAAATCTAAGCGAGTATCATGTTTTGGGGGGCATACAAGTTATGGATTCATTTTAAATATGGTCTTCTGATGTCGTCACACCAGGCTACAGAGAGGAAATGCTAAATATGTCCTGAGAAGAATCACTTCCGGAGTCACGGGGCCGCTGCGGTGATAGGCTCAGCCGTGGACTGGGGGCGTTTCGAGTGCGGTCTGAAATGAGTAATGTAGACATCAGGGGGTGGGTGAGGTGGAGTAATAAATTATTGTTGATCAACAGGGAGGCTTACTAGTGAAAAGGGTTGGGGCGGGTTTCTATGTCATGCTATAGTCTAGAATACACCTGCACTTTTAAGCATCTCAAAAAAGTAGTGAGTGAGGATTATCTCACGCTTGTCTGCCTGCACTTCTACTCCGTACTCTCCACAAATAGAAGCAACACTTCAATAGGAATACATGAAACTGGAAGCGATCTGTAACGTACGTTGACTGACTAACTTGACTGAAAAAACAGAACGCTATCGAGCAAGAGCTCATGAAGTCTTCCCCATTGTACCCCCTCTCCCCCCCCCCAACCCAACTAGGGTAATTTTAGTCGGGCCCTTGGAGACCGCCCCACCCGCCTCCCACTTATACATGAAACTGGAAGCGATCTGTAACGTCCGTTGACTGACTAACTTGACTGAAAAAACAGAACGCTATCGAGCAAGAGCTCATGAAGTCTTCCCCATTGTACCCCCTCTCCCCCCCCCCCAACCCAACTAGGGTAATTTTAGTCGGGCCCTTGGAGACAGCCCCACCCGCCTCCCACTGGAGTGACTAGCCGAGTGAGGCGGCATCAATGAAGGAACCCCTGGTCGGCTGCTCTCCCAGCGTCTGAGGTCAAACTTTCTATTGGCTGCGATGGGTATATTTTGAAGTCCCCAAAAACACCCTTTCCCATCCCGGGTTGGCAACTAATATTAGTTAATTTATTAGAAAATTGTTTTTTTTTTCTTTCTTTCAATAGCCGCATATGGCAATTATAAGCATTAACGCTTTAGCCCATAATTAAAATATTTTTTTTTTAATTTTATAAAAACAAAAACTTCACGTTATAGTTCTTACGATGATTAGACAAACAGGACAATGAGACAAACAAAAGAGAACGACCAACAGTGCAATGAGACAAACAAAAGAGAACGACCAACAGTGCAATGAGACAAACAAAAGAGAACGACCAACAGTGCAATGAGACAAACAAAAGAGAACCACCAACAGGACAATGAGACTAACATAAGAGAACGACCAACAGTGCTATGAGACAAACAAAATAGAACGACCAACAGTGCAATGAGACAAACAAAATAGAACGACCAACAGTGCAATGAGACAAACAAAATAGAACGACCAACAGTGCAATGAGACAAACAAAAGAGAACGACCAACAGTGCAAGTAGACAAACAAAAGAGAACGACCAACAGTGCAATGAGACAATCAAACAAATCACACCGTGCATCACGACAAAACCGTGCAATAAATAAACCATCGAAAATATACTTGATTGTGGATGAACGATTAGCTTAAAGCTTACATTGTACAATAATTATTTTGAGTCCGGAGGTATCGAATATCGTGGCCTCTCGTAACTGCTCTTGTGTTATTGGATCCTATGAAGAATCGAAACATCGATTAAAGCCACAACAAATGTTATTATTTATATTTAAAAAACAACAAAAAGAAAACCAATAAAAAAACAAAAGAAATTGAAACCGTTTTGCTTCTATGTTTTTTTTAACTCTTTTTTTTTTTGGGGGGAGACTTTTGAACTAGTTTTAAGTTTTAATCTCCTCCGGTTTGATCAATATGCCTAGATGCAATGAATTCATTTCATCATACAAAGTCCCCATATTCATACGTGCCATGTCCTCATTTAATGATACAAGAATCCATATGCAAGCGATGACCCCATTTGATGATAAGAAAGCTCCATGCAGCATCAACTATCGTTGACCATCTACATTGGGGCAAACCACTGGCCATATTCGCGAATTTGTGTGGTCCCAATTGGCAACTTTTGGCTCACTGCTAAGCGGAAGCGTGAGCAAAGATTGCTCGCTCTCCCTGAAAGGCGCACGAGATCTGTCGCTGCATACCCAAGTGCCGGAGGGATTGCAGTTGGACCACACAAAATAATTAATTACGATTTAAATATTTTACGAAATATTTTTTAATGTTCATTTATTAATCACGTGTTAATAAAAAAAGTTATTTAAGTACTAATCGTATCTATCAATATCAATACAATCATTCAGTTGTTTTATAGCTCCTATAATATTATTTCAAAGACCCAATAAATCACTACATGATATAGAGAAAACCAAGAAACCTGGCATTTGAGAATCGCATAACTTCCCCTCGAATTACTTCGCTTTAGACGGCCAATTCAAAGACCCTTCCAGAATATTCGAAAAAATAATATGGTCAACTTCAGAAAACTAAAACGTCTTAAATTTAAAAAAAACCAAACAATAACAATACAACTTGACAATAACTTCAAATGGCCAAAAATCACTTCTGTTTAAAAACTAAAAATCAATTATTGTTGTGAAAGGTTACAAATTTTAATCTAGATAAATTTCGCATTTAATGTAAGCCATCATTTCTGATGAACAGCGAACAATTCAGAAATCTTTAAATTTTTACAAAGATCCGTCGCTGAAAAGATATTCAGGCAGAAGAACAATTTGATTGAACCGCCTGATACAAGTTTGAATACATCGTTTTAACCTAAAATAAGCAATAATTATTACATTATATTCGTCATCTCACACTTACACTGTTGTCTTCTAAAATCGGCTGTGGACAACCAAAAAAGGGACAAAATATAATTAAGAGTATTATGAATTACGTAATAACTATAAACATAATATGTATAAGAATAAAACCATTGCGTACATAGACGTGAATGTGAGTGAATTAAATAATTAAGTGATCAGTCACCTGACCTTAATGGGGGTTCACAATCAAAAGTTAATGACGTTATCTTAATATTTTGACAAATAGTTTGACATGAGATTGTTTTTAAACCGCTACGTATGTTTGGCATTGCGTGAAAATGTCCTTATTTTAAAACAGTACAGCACAGAATGAGGACACACATTATCGTCTCAAGTCAACTGATGCGTGATGTAGACGGAACGCCGTTAGTGATTGCCTTTCACTCAGGTAGGGCCAACAACTGAAGTCTCAGCGTTTCAAGACTTTATTCACCTTTTGCAGGGACGTTTAAAGCAAACATTTCACAACTGCGACCCGACGAGGAACATATTGTCCCCCCGACTCCGCGAGTCCAACTCCCCGGGGGCACTGTTGTGCAGACAACTTACCTTGATGTCTCCCCTGAACACCGCCAAGTTGAGGGTGATGAAGCAGGCGAACTTGAGGGAGAACATCGCCAACCTGATCAGGGCCATGGTCAGAACGATGCTCGAGAGGATGAAACAGTGAAGGGTCATGCCAACTATCCGGTCAGTGGTGGGATGAAACGTTGTGATGAATGACAAGTCAGGGACGTAGGGCTCCAACCTGGGGTGATGAAAAAGATGACTAAAAATAAACGGTTCTCAATGTTGCAAAATTACGGCTAAGTAAACTAACCGTCAGAGGTGGGCTGACACAGCAGGGCAGTTTTTTTTCCTTTCATTGACACAAATACGTGCTGCCTAAATAAGCTACACCAGTTGACTCCTGAATAGTAAATATATACGACTAACCACAGGGTGAAGATGATTTCGAAAGGAAAGTAATTTTTACTACACATTTGTTTGCCTTGCGGCCCTACCCGTACTTTTATTCTTGCACTCCCACCCCTTTCCATGTATTTCTGTCTATGGACCAACCCTCTAGTCCTATTCCACACTACACAAATTCCCTCATTGATGAAACGCTCACATGATACAACACTCACATGATACAACACTCACATGATACAACACTCACATGATACAACACTCACATGATACAACACTCACATGATACAACACTCACATGATACAACACTCACATGATACAACACTCACATGATACAGATTCACTCATTGATACAACACTCACATTATACATATTCACTCATTGATGAAACACTCACATGATACAACACTCACATTATACAGATTCACTCATTGATGAAACACTCACATGATACAACAATCACATGATACAACACTCACATGCTACAACACTCACATGCTACAACACTCACATGCTACAACACTCACATGATACAACACTCACATGATACAACACTCACATGATACAACACTCACATGATACAACACTCACATGGTACAACACTCACATGATACAACACTCACATGATACAACACTCACATGATACAACACTCACATGATACAACACTCACATGATACAACACTCACATGATACAACACTCACATGATACAACACTCACATGATACAGTTCACAGCACGCTTCACGTTGTCGTAAAGTCGCACAGCAATATTTGAATCGTTTTCCACGCAGTCCAGGTACGTTGTAGTAGCATTCTCAGATGAAGGTGGGGTAACCGTGGGTGGGTTAGGTGCGTTGGTGAATGACAAAACTGGCATATTTTCACCGGCAGATAATCTCGGGAATCTTCTGCCGTTTAAAAAATAACCAAGTTTTGAAATGGTACAGGGTGCATGGGTGAGTCCACCGGAAACAAACCAGCATCTCAACTCAATTTATGATGACGTCATTCTTCAAATTGCACTGGATTGTTTTTGATAGTCAGATTTTAAATCAATAAAAATAATAATAACACGTGAAGAGCAAGGAAAGAGAGGGGGGGGGTCTTATTTAGATCTGACTCTAGAAAACAAAAACATAACAATGTGAAATATTATTTTTAAATATATCTACAGGATCTTCTTATATGGCTACTCTCGAAGCTGTAGCGTAAAGATATCCTGTCACACAGTGTATTCAACAAACAAACAAAAAAAAAATGGCCGTCATTGACTTTCTAAATAACAAAAGATAAGCCAGAAAGCCTGACCATTTCTGAGCTTTGAGATGTTACTCCCATCCATGCATTGCACTGACCTACCGGTACAAGATGACTTTGAGGGTGAATCATTTTCATCGGCCGTCTACGCACGGACAGATTGAATCAGATCCAGCACGAATCTGGTGATGGAAAAATGGTCTTCGTCGATTTTGATGGACGAACTAGCAAATAACAATAACAAGCATATTTCTTGAAGACGATGGGGAGCGACAGAGTTGTTCCTCTCGGTATTTTTAAATTAGGTGAACTGAAAAAACAACAACAACAACCCACCACAACACCAACCAAATAACACTAATGTCAGTGTGACGACGAACTAATTAAGTTTCTCTATCTGCCATTCTCTCCCGCCCCATCTCTCTACCCCAAACATAAAATTTAAAAAAAAATGTTTTTTACAAAAAGAACTCTATTTCGTGTATAAAGAGTCACATCCCATTAAAACAATACAAAACAAGACAATTTTTACGACTCTCTCTCTATATATATTATATCTTAATTATTTTAATTTTAAAATTGCAGTCTATTTGTCTCAAATACATTTTTTGAGATGTCCTCTTTTAACGCTATAAATAAATATTCTTTTACTTTCTGAATTTAGATGTCTCCATAAAAAAATATTTTACATACAGATTTGATGACATGGTGCATTTAATTGTTAAAAACCAAATGATAAGCTATATCTTTCTCTTTCTGTACCCCCAAACAAATCAATTATCTCCCATTACACAGCCGCCATATACCAACCGCCCAAGCCTTCAAAACTGCACCCAAGACACAATATCTCTTCAACCTCTACTGTTCCGACTCATTCTCACCCCTTCTGACCGATAAACAATGATCGATGCTGCTGGGTGCCTTCCATGGCTAGACAGGGGTAAATAGTGCTTGGGTCGGTGAGGTCAATATTTTTACAAAGCTGTTTTTTTTTTAATGTAACTTCTATGTCTATACCTATAGAAGCCTTACAAATGTTTTACTATTGCGTGTCTGTACTTTAATATTTGAATCGTTTTCACTTGCTGTGCTGTAAGTTAATATAGTTTTTTACTTCTGTATATTTTATTTTGTATTTTTTAGAATAATTAAATTGAATATTGTTGATATCACTTGCTTTGGTATCGTTCATATTTGTATACTGTTTCAGTCCTTTGTTCAGTATTGTTCCTATTTGTTAACTGTTTCAGTCCTTTGTTACGTATTGTTCAACAACGAGCCAAATCTTAAAAAGGATTAAATGTACAAAACCATAAAATGGTACGCAGTGTTTTCGATTAAATTTTAAATAGTTTTAAATTGTTAAACATTTTTCGTTTAGTTTGAAAGTGAAGTGCATAAGGGGAGGAGGGTCTGAGATTAGTGACAGATTGTGACCCGGGGGGGGGGGGAGAGAAGGATTTTAAAAAAAAAAATAGCTTCATGTATTTAATTCATTTTTCGAGTAAGCTTATAGATTCCCAATATGAATGGGTGATGCGGATTAATGCTAGAAAGAAATCATTGTGGGAAAAAAAAGAAGAACTTTAACTTTTTGATAGAACACATCAGCCAGCTAATTTGCTGTACTTGCAAATAATCAAGTAAAATAATGAACACGTTAGAATTAAAGTTGTAGTACTTTAAAAGTGTATGTTTAAAAATGCATGACTTCTGTTTAGGCCTACATCTAAACAACTGATTAGTCATTTCGGCTGTATAACTACTGTTTAGGCCTACATCTTATCAATTGATTAGTCATTTCGGCTGCATAACTAAACCCAAAGCATAATTTCAAACGGAATTTCATAAAAACTTAAACTAAATAAATATTTATTGAAATAAAGAATAATGCGTTTCAAGCAGTAAATCGGATAAGTTCAATGCGCGGTTTATAATCCAATGTTGATACTTAACTTTAAGTTTAGTCTCGTGTAATATATTTTAGAATTGGTCTGAAATTATATAATATATTTATATTTCAACAACTTTGTAAATAAAGTACAGGGGAACATTAAGGCGACTGTTATTACACATTTCAATAAGATGGTCTACAAAGGTTACTTTGATACCATTTGGGTGGACCATTAGTTCCATTGTCAAGCTCAGAGGTTCTTAACCAGAGGAACAAGCTGGGGTACTAGGAGCAATGCAAGGGGCCGCTGAAAAAAACAGACTATAAAAAAAAAATATATGAAAAAAAAAAAAAAAAAAAAATGAAAAAAAAAAAAAAAATAAAAAAAAAAAAAAAATAATGATACAATAAAATAAAATAAATACATAAAATAAACTGCGAGCACATTCACACAAATATAAGGAAAACAAGAACAAGGGAAATACAAGCAAATACACAAAAGTAGTAGGTGAAAATTTTTTCATAAATCTTTTGAGCAAAAAAGGTTATGCGTAAGTGTCAGATTTGACTCTCAATATGTTTGAAAAACAAAACATAACATGGTGCTGAAAACGACTTAACTCTGTCAGATCTGGATATCATTTTTTAGAATTCATTATATTATTTATATTGCAATTTAGAGAGAGGCGAAGCCTAAATTATCTACCTAAATATTTAACTAGCCCGACAAGTAATCAATATATGAAGGGGGGAGTATTATGATCCTGCCAACTACCGTTAGGTATCTCTCACCAGCGTGGTATGCAAACTGTTGGAACACATACTCGTAAACTCAGTCATGAAGCATCTTAAAAGTCACAATATAGACTACTCAATGAATGTTATCATGGCTTCCGAGTCAATAGATCACGTGAGACCCAGCTTCTTGAATTTGTAGAAGACTTGATGACCAATCTAGAGGACGGCAAGCAAACTGAAGTGCTGGCATTTCTCAAATGCATTTGACCGTGTCAATCATAATTTGCTATTACGCAAACTTCATAGATATGGGATACGAGGCACTACCAAAACATGGATCTCTAACTTCCTGGGCAACCGATGCCAGGCAGGAGCGGTGAACGGTACACGCTCCTCCTTTGTCAGTGTTAAGTCAGGGGGCCCTCGGGGCCCTGTTTGTTCCTAGCATACATCAATGACCTGTCCGAGAAGCTGACACCCCCCCCCCCAAAAAGAGCCTGTTCGACGAAACACGGCAGTGTATAGGCTATAACAGGTCAATCGCCAACATTTCTGACAAGGACCGGCTACAACAGGTTGGCAGGAGCGGTGAACGGTACACGCTCCTTCTTTGTCAGTGTTAAGTCAGGGGGCCCTCGGGGCCCTGTTTGTTCCTAGCATACATCAATGACCTGGCCGAGAAGCTGACACCCCCCCCCCCAAAAAGAGCCTGTTCGACGAAACACGGCAGTGTATAGGCTATAACAGGACAATCGCCAACATTTCTGACCAGGACCGGCTACAACAGGTTCTCCATCGGTTAGCTGAGTGGGAGATGAGCTGGGACATGGAATTTCATCCTGCCAAGTGCAAGACCCTGTCAGTTTCTAGAAGTATTACCCCTCTACACCACCCTTTCAAACTGCATGGCTGTATGCTTGAGCCAGTTTCTTCCATAAGTTAGCTCGGTGTTACCATTTGTCAAGTATTTGGTTTCCGACGTGTCTTCTGATGCATGTCAATTATTTCACAGGTTAAACTTTCGTCAAATTTCTTTTTGAACGCACCATACTATATAGTAAAACAAAATAATGCGTTCAAAAAGAAATTTGAAGCAACATTTTAACGTAAAAACTGAAAAATAGATTCGACCAAATTTCCGTTCGATCAAATTATCGTCGATCAATTTACCGTCGATGAAATTTCTTTCGATCAAATTTCTGGATACGGCAGCTAGGGACTATGTTCTAACCAAAAATACCGAGGACTCCTCTTTAAACTCTCTCTCATACGCAATGTGTGTGTGGGGGGGGGGGGGAGTGCTTGTGAGAGTGGGGGAATTTTTTTAAAATCGAGAAGGAGTGTCAGTGTGGAGTGTTTTGAAATCGAGAGGGGGATGTGTCATTGCAAAAAATATCTAGGAACACCCTGGTCCAGCAAAATTTATTATGAAAAAAAGAGCGAAAATATCTCTCAACAAGAATTTTGGATGTAATTTAGATCTCGGTTATTGGAAAACCGATATAAACAAGTGAGCTGGCAACAATGGCGAAAACTCGTAAAAGGTTATTTAGTTTGTCAATAATTTTAAAGCTGATTGAAGCATATAATTAATTTAAAATAATAAGCTTTTGAAAATTTGCACACATTTTTTAGTTAACAAACTGGATTCGCTAAATTACAAATCTTCGACAGCGCAATGCTACTTTAAAATGGGTACACTTAATCACTTAAAAAATGATAATATTATATATAATAATAATATTAATAGTAATACTAATAGACAATAGTACATGTAATTGTAATCATAATCATACTCATAAAATAAATCAAATCCCAATCTGAATCTCAGCAGACAGCAATCTCTGTGAGTGTTCTATTGAGACTATTGAATTGAAATTTTGTGAAAAATCTCCTATGTAGTACTCAAAATTCCTGACGTTCCACTTTTTGGGGGTTTATCTTTCACTTCATTTTCTATTTATTTTTATCACAAACTTACATATTTTCTAACTTACTACCAATATGGGATTGAGGGTCTCTTTGCAAAGACTAAAATTAAAACCAAAATTTAAGCTCTTTGATTTGAAATTGAGTAAA